TGGAGTCAGAGTCTCACTCTGTTGCCGAACCACAGTGGCATGCTCATGGCAGCCTTGATCTGCTGAGCTCAGGTGATCCTTCCACTTCATCCTTTTAAGTAGCTGGGACTACAGGCACGTACCACCATGCCCAGCTAATTTTTTGATTTATTATAGAGACAAGATCTCGCCAGGTTCCCAGACTGGTCTCGAACTCCTGGGCTCAGGCAGTCTTCTCGCCTCAGCCTCCCAAAGTGCTGGGATTACAGGTGTGAACCACACTCCTGGCAACAGCATGCATTCTTGAGGCAGCACATTGGGTGGCCTCTCTTTCTACACTTGGGAGCAGAGAGCAGTGAGCACTTAGCTTCAGTGAGTTCAAACAGGTTTCCCTAAATGCCTTCTTGTTTTCTGTGATGTTTCAGCTGCTGGTCTATGAGTTTGGATAATACCATGAAGCGCCACACTGAGAAATCGACCAAGCACTGGTTCTCCATCTATCAGATGCTTGAGAAGCACATGCAAGAACAAACCGAGGAGCAGGAAGGTAGTGCTGGGCAGCACACTGCCTGCATGTGTGGAGGTGCCCAGCCGAATGAGTGCTGCAGACTGTAGCAGCTATCTGTTCTCACTCCCTCAGCCCCCACTTTCACTCTGAGAAGTTAGCCAGGAAAGCTGTGTAGTGCTTGTCTCACTGAGGGAGTAAACTGGAAGTCAGAGAGGTTTATGTGACTTTTCCAGAGTCTAGAGAACCAGTCATACGCTAAGGTCCTCTTCTCTGTGCCCATGAAACAAGTCTTTCTTGGTAGATAGTAGTAATCAGCACACTTGAGTTGAAGATGTTTCATTTCATACTCATGGCAAGCACCTTATACTTCAATTCCATAATTTGCTGGAACTGCATTTAAGACATATCTGTGTGCAGCAGTTACTTGTAAATCAGCTTAGAAGTTAGTTATGGTGTCTGGGTGCATTGGCTTATATGCCTGTAATCCTAGCAGTTTGGGAGGCTGAGGCAGGAGGTTGCTGAGCTCAGGAGTTTGAGACAAACCTAAGCAACACAGTGAGACCTTGTCTCTACAAAAAAAAAAAAATTATGCAAGCGTGGTGACACGTGCCTATGGGCCATGCTACTTGGGAGGCTGAGGCAGGAGGATCGCCTGAGCCCAGGATGTTGAGGCTGCAGTAAGCTGTGATCGTTCTACTGCACTCCAGCCTGGGTGACAGAGTGAGACCCCAACTCAAACAAATACAAAAGGAAGTTAACTGTGGTCCTTGCTTGAAAGCCTTGTTTTGCTTATGGTTTCCGCCTGATGCCCGTCCCTTTGTGTATCCCATAGTGGACTGCACACACGTTAGGAGTAGGGAGTGATGGTTGAAAGCACATGTATATTTTCCTTTTTGACTCTCTAAAGATGACAAACAGATGACCTTGATGTTGCTGGTCAGCACATTACAAGCATTTATTGAGGGGTCCTCGCTGGGAGAATTCCACGTACGACTTCAGATGTTACTGGTTTTCCATTGTCATGTCTTGCTGATGCCACAAGCGGAAGGAAAGGGTGAGGATTTTTTTTTTCCTTTTCACTGCAGTGTTCAAATGGGTTAGGTTTTGAATTCTCCACAGGAGACAGTTGTCTTGTTGCACACCAGGTTTTAAGCAAGACACTTGGAGTCATTTTTAGCTTTAATGTGATTCATGTTAGCTATAGAGAAAAACGTCCAAAGTAAGGTGCAGACTGGTTATAAGCGGAGCACTGACTCGTGAGCTCTGGCCAAAGTAATTGCTGGATGGAGCGAGCTCTCAGGCCTGGCGTGTTGAGGCAACTCCTCTCTGTCTAGACGCTGTAAATGTCCTGCTAAGCTGCTGCTTGATCCAGGCCATTATTAGCTTCTTTGATCTAGTAAAGCACTGCCACATATCAAGGAACTGCACATAAAACTGCTGCTGTTAGTTACCATCTCTGACCACAGCAGTTGAGATCAAAATCTCCCGACAAGATGAGTATAGTTTGGCCATGGATGAGCATTTGGGTGAACTGCTTCATGTGCCATCTCTTAAAACAAGGATGGTATTTGCCAATTTTACAGTAAGATTAGACAGAATTTGAACTTATGGTTTTAGCGGAATCTCTGAGTTCATCATCTTCAAGAACAAAATATAAAAAACATCCGTTAGAAGCAGACGTGAAAAGTAGAGGAGTATTAACCTCCTGCATCTCTGAGGACTGTGAACTCAGACCAGCTCCCTAAATAACCACCTGTGAGACGTCCTGTAACCTCGTGGCACACAGATAGGAAGGGTCATCTCTGAAATGTGAAGCCCACAGGCGGCGCCAGTAGCACATGCAGCAAGTGTGGTGTTTTTGTTTCCTTTTCATTTCTTCCAGATTCACTTTGCAGTGTTCTATGGAATTTGTACCATTATTACAAGCAATTCTTTGACCGGGTCCAGGCCAAAATTGTGGAACTTCGTTCCCCCCTAGAAAAAGAACTTAAAGTAAGATGAACAGCTGTCACGCTCACTCTTGGGAGAACAAAATCAGATTCTTTTCCTTAGCGCAACAGTGAGGCAGGGGCTAAGGGGAATGGAGGTGAGCCCTGCCACCGCTAGGTAGGATGGCCAGATGTACATTCTGCGTCATTGGCACCCCTGCTGACCTGGCCAGGTGTGTGAGGGGTCCGTGGAGTGGCCCTGTCAGAGGCTCCTCAGATGCCACCGAAGTCCGTTGTGCTCATCTGGTCTTGCCCAGGCTCATCTCCCCCCTCAGCGGTGCACCGTGCTGTGTTGGTCTGTGCACCACTGTAGCACCTTGGAACAGAGGGCCCTCTCTTTTTGACACTCAGTGGTTTTGGAACCAAGCCTTGTGCAGGGGACACGACTAATGTGGTGATTTGTAAGCTGGAGTACATATTGAGTGACCGATTGATTATAGCAACACTGCTTTTTATCTCTTTGAGACCAACATACGGTTCAGTTTTTTAGACTTATTTAACTTGACCAGTGACACAGTCCTGTGTTTGGGATGGAGTGGGCTCTGGTCTTTGGCAAATAGTAAAAAAACAGAATGACACTCGCTTGTTAAAGCCATTTCTTGAGTTTCATTTATCTTACAGGAATTTGTTAAGATTTCCAAGTGGAATGATGTCAGCTTCTGGTCCATTAAACAGTCTGTGGAAAAGACACACAGGTAATTCTGAACTGGGGGCAACTGTCATTCAGAATTTTATGTGAAAGGGAACAAGACTACATAGTTACCATAGCCTGACTTCATAGAAATACCTTGAACTTCTGAGGGGAGAAAAAAGCCAAAATCCCACCGGCTTATTTTAGTGTGACTTTCTAACACCACCCCTTGTCACGCAGGCCAGAGTGGACCTCTAGGAGGCCTTAGCTTGCCTTGAAACTCAGCAGGCTGTGGCTCCAGTCTTCTGCCACCTTCTAGCTCTTTACTTTGAGCAAAGCAATCCCACCCCTCCTGGGTTCAGTTTTCTCTTCTAGAAAAGGAGGATGACAACCTACTGTATTTTTTCCCTTAAGGAAAGAAAATGACTGAATATCTAAGGAGATTGTTGTATACAAAAAGTACAGGTTATGAAGTTACATGTATATGCATTATAATGTATTTTTTGCATTTCTTCATTTGCCAATCTGGTTTTTTTTCCTTATCTCTCTCATCCCCTGGCGTCAGGACCCTTTTTAAATTCATGAAGAAGTTTGAAGCTGTCCTGAGTGAACCCTGCCGGTCATCCCTGGTGGAGAGTGACAAGGAAGAACGGCCTGACTTTTTATCCAGGCCGACTGATGCAGCTGCGAGTGAGGCGTCTCCTGTTCAGAGTCTGATCAGAGTGCTGAGGGAGACCCTGTTAGCTCGGCCAGTGGTTGCGCAGGTGGTAACCCATGGGAGAGTGCTTGCTTATTCCCCCAGCCAGTCAAGTGGGCTCTGTGTTTAACGTACTAGGGGTGTCCTGGGTACCAGACAAGGAAATGCACTTGAAATCTTGTTCTTTGGACATTTATATTTGTTTGCCTGACCCCACTGAAGACTAGGGCCAAAAACCCATAGATCCTGCTGCTAAAAGTTCACTGTCAGCCTGTGGGGAATAACTGTTGTGTTCACCTATGAACACTGCATCTACCTGTGATGGGAGACTCGAGCGTCAGCTTAAGGACGCGCCATCAGAGCTGCCCGTGGGCGCATGAGGAAGCGGCTGCTCAGGGCGAATGTATGTTGGCTTATTGTGAGTGCCATTCGCTGTGGTGTAGGCGCTCCTGTCACAGCCAGTTTCAGGCGCCAGCAGTTAAGATTGACTTGCAGAGCTCCTGAAGGCCAGCAGAGATGGGTCTTGTAGTCAGCACATCTGCTCTAGAATGGCGACTTCTGCTTCGTGTCTTAGGGTGTGGGAAGCTCCAGGATTGTGTATACTCAAGAGAGTCATTGCTCTTACCTTCTTACTGACCTTCCCCCCTGGGGCTCACAGAGTTGGTAATGGAAAGTCCTCGAGCTGTTTTTAATATTTTAGTAGTTAAAAATGCATAATAGGAACTGAGCATAAAGCCATCATGTGGCTGCACAGATACAATATGGCTCCCAAATTTATTTTCTTTTGACGTATTTGTCGGCTCACTGCTTTGGTCGTTCTGATGAAAAATTTTGATTTGCTGATGATGATAGCATAGGAATGTCAGGTATTCTTCAGAAGAAAGTGTAACAGACATATGCCTCCAATGGACAAAGGCTCTTTTGTTCATTTCACATCTAAATCCCTGATTGTGAACCGTTCGTCAGGAACTGGAGGGTGGGGGCAGAGGGCAGTAGCAGTGGGACTGGGTGGCCCCGTTTGCTGGCCGGGTGCCTGGGCAGCACGGTATGGCCCCGCACCTTGAGGGCAGCAGCTCCATCCCTTGTCGGGTCGGGGCTGTGCGTGGGCCGGCTCTGGAGTCTGCTCATGCGGCGTAAAAGCACTGCTGGAGGTGGGGTGCTTCTGTGACAGTCTCATGGAGCGGTGGTAGGATTTTCTAGATATCTGTGGTGTGTCTGTTTTAATTTTAGGAGGCTACATTTGTTCTCATGAAACTTCTGAGATGGTGATAATTTAGTACTTGCTAAGCGGGGGGTGTTGGGGGCAGTTCAGTCTAGCACCTGTGCAGGTCAGAACTGTTGCTGTCATCCTGAGCAGCGAGACTGACCTGAGCTCTGCCTCGCAGGCCACAGTTCCAGAACAACATCAAGGTGCTGCTCTTCCCCCCTTGGAAGGGGAGCTTGTGCGTCGCTTGCCGAAGCTCATGCGGCGAATGCGGAAGGTGTGCCTGGCTTTCGTGAAGGAGAGCCCCCTGCCTCAGCTCGTGGAGGGCCTTGAGCAATTCACTGGTGGGTACCAGGCATGGGTGGGACTTGCTTTTCTGTTTTCTCCAGTGGCGCAGGAAGGCTGGGAATGTGGCACGATATTTGTTTTTTGACGTCGTGTATAGTGTTGAACAGTTGACTGAATAAGCAAGCGGGCTCAAAACCAGTAGAGCCCAGACACAGGAGCCAGCTGAGAACACACAAACTGTCAAGATTTTCATCTTGTCGTCCTTGGTGTAAACTAGTAATATGTTATGCCATTTTCTGTAAGAACCTGGTCAGTGCCAGTTCTTGTTGGTTGGGGGATGGGTAAAGGGGCAAGGAGATGGCTTTCCCGGAGTTCTAAGCTGCCCACCTCCCAAGATGTCTCCTTTGAATAAAGGGAAAAGAAAGACTCAGCCACAGTCCTCTCGGCTTCCTTCACTTCAGAGAGGTGAGCCGTTCGTTTCTCTGGCTGTCCTTGCTCAGGGAAGGGTGAGAGCCCAGGTCTGCTCTGTAGTGCAACAGCAGTAGCCAGGGAAGGGAATCCAGAGCTTCATAGGCTGTTTGGGTCCTTGGTGGGCTTCTGCCACCTCTTTCACCCCATCCATCCCTGCCCCATCCTCAAGGGGAGTACCAGAGTGAGGCTGCAGTCTAATCCCAGGGCGTTCTTGTTTTTAAAACTTGTCATGAAAATAGCCTCCTGTCTGTTGCTCATGGCAACTTGTGCCTGAGCCTGAGGACGAGGATGAGTGGAATACAGGTCTGTGTACAGCTCCTGGAAAGGGGCCAGGCCTCTTCTCAGCCTCTTACTCGCCTGCAGTGCCAGCGTGCTATGTGGGCTGTGCACACGTGCATCTGGCAACCACCTGTGCTGGTCTTCTAGGGCTGCCTTAGTAAAGGGCCACAGATCGGGAATATGTCATCACACAGTTCTGAAAGCTGAAAGGCCGGGATGAAGGTGTCGGCAGGGCTGGTGTCTTAGGTGTCTCTTGACTTGCAGATGGCCACCTTCTCACTGAGCCCTTGCATGGCCACTCTTCCATTTGTGTTCTTTGTATCCTTTTTTTCCCTCCTGAGTTGAGGTCTTACTCTGTTGCCTAGGCTGGAGTGCAGTGGCATGGTCACGGTTCACCGCAGTGCAGCCTTGACATCCTGGACTCAGGTGTTCCTCCTGCCTCGGCCTTCCAAGTAGCTGGGCTTACAGGTGTGTGCCATGACACCCAGCTAGTTTTTTAAATTTTTTTAGTAGAGATGAGATCTTGTCATGTTGTCCAAGCTGGTCTCAAGCTCCTGGGCTCAAGCAGTCCTCCTGGCTCGGCCTCCTAAAATGTTGGGATTACAGGCATGAGCCACCATGCCCCGTCTTTGTTCTCGTCTTGTAAGCTCTTAAGGGCTTCAGTCATATTAAATTAAGGCCGTGCTCATTTTGCCTTAACGACCTCTTTAGGGGCCCTGTCTCCATACAGACTCACACTCCAGGGGTGCTGGGGTTGGGACTTTGGCATTTGAATGGGGGAAGAGATACCATCCAGCCCCTAACGCCACTCTAGCAGGTAGGTGCCTGTAGCAGGTAGGCAGCACCCTCATGTTACAGGTACCCTTGTGTCTTCAGGAAGTTAGCATGGTGCTATAAGAAAGAACCTGGGCTTTGGAATTGGATCGGCCAGTGTGCAAATCCTGGCTCATCCACCTATTAACCAAATGGCCTTTCCTTAAATCAGGGAGGTCCAACCTTTGAGTAGAGGAATTATCTTGGCCCACATATAAATTATAGTTAGTATCTGTATATAATACTTAATTTTCTTGTGTTGTTATTATACAGTTTAGAAAAACAAGAACAGTATAAAACAATAGGAAACTTGATCTTATTTTTGTAAAATTAATCAATGTCTGGTTGACTGGAAGTGGTCACAATTCTTCATGAGTTCTCAAGGTGCTCATCAGAAATGTTTGATCAATTTTTGCTCTTCGTGTGCTTAATAATTGAAAACAGCTGTTCACAAATACATGTGCTGCCAGAAAGTGATGTCTTGTGATTGTGAACTTCAAAGACAGAACTATGCATGGGGTCACGAAGAAAATGAACGCTAAAAAAAACATGATGTTAGGCTGGGTGTAATGGCTCATGCCTATAATCCCAGCACTTTGGGAGGCCTGAGTGAGAGGATTGCCTGAGCCCATGGATTCAAAACCAGCCTGGGCAACTTGGCAAGACCTCATCTCTACAATAAATAAAAAAAATCAGCCGGTCATGGTAGCATGTGACTATAGTTCCAGCTTCTTGGAAGGCTGAGGTGGAAGGATCATCTGAGCTCAGCAAGTCGAGGCTGCAGTAACTGTGAGCATGCCACTGCACTCCAGCCTGGATGACAGAGTGAGACTCCAATCTAAGAGAAAAAAAAAACCCAAAAAACCATGATGTTAAAAGATTTTGTGGGGCTGCATTACTAGCTGTCCTGGGCCACATGCAGCCCGCAGGCTATGGGTTGATCATGCCTGCTTTAAAGTCTGTAAAATGGAAGCTCACGAAAAGATTTTGCCAATTACCAGCTATAGTGTAGAAAGTCAATAATACTGCATTTATTAGACATTTCCTTCAAGTGATCAAAAATTCCTAGTATGATACACTGCACATCATTGGTGCTCAATAGGAGTGCTTTTTGATTGATTATAAGCCCTAAAATAAAAAAGAACATGTCATCTGTTGACAGTAAACATGAAATCCATGTGTTCTTGTTTTCTGTATCTATGCATCTTGACCAGTCTAGTTCTTAACATAACTAGAGGCTACATTAAGTATCAAGCACATAAAAATGAATGGTACCTGGTCCTTGGCCTTGGATGTGCCTAGTAGTGGGTAACTTACCTCATTAATAAACTCTGGGGTTTTCTTACTTCCTCTTGTTTCCCCTACAGGTGGAGTGATTTCCTCTGTGAGTGAGCTGCAGAGCTTAAAGGTGGACCCCTCAGCAGAGAAGGAGAAGCAGCGGTCGGAAGCCAAGCACATTCTCGTGCAAAAGCAGCGAGCTTTATCAGACCTCTTTAAACACCTTGCCAAAACTGGTAAGGGTCTCACTTGAAATCCCTTGAAACAGAATCATCAACTTTAGGAAGAAAAACAGTATGAGTGACTTGGAAAATTCCATAGACAGTTGAGATGGTGACCAACAGAAGGTGCAGGCAAGGTTTTGAAATATCCTTCTAAGAGCTCTAGTCACATGCAGGAAAATCCTATGATCAGGCATTTGTGATTCCCAAAAACTTTTATTTTTGTGCTGAGGTTTCTCCTAACCGTATTTTTATTTTCATCAGCAAGGGCTATTCAGCACTCTTCCAGCAGAGCAGGGAGCATTGCTTCTCAAACTTTTTAAAGTCAGGGTCTTACTGAAACCAGACTGGAGTGCAGTGGCACCATCATCACTACCACAGCCTCCACCTGCTGGGCTCAGGCGATCCTTCCACTTCAGTCTTCCAAGTAGCCGGCACAACAGGCACGTGCCACCACGCCTGGCTAATTTTTTTGATTTGTTTTATAGACGAGTTCTTGCCATGTCTCTTAGCGTGGTCTCGAGTTCTTAGGCTTAGGCAGTCTTCTCGCCTTGGCCTCCCAGCATGCTAGGATTATAGGCGTGAGCCACTGCCCAGTCTGCTTCTCAAACTTGGATGAGCATGGGAATCACCTGGGGACCCTTGCTAGCGTGCAGATGCAACTCCCGTTTCAGCTGGTGTGGGTGTAGCCTGAGAGTCTCTGTTTCTAACAAGCTCCTGGGTAATGGAGTTCCGTGGACTTGGCTTTGAGTGTGTGTGGGAGGGGTACCTCCCTCACTACTGTCTCTTTGCTTAAATGAATGCTGTTTATTTCTTAGGTTTGTCGTTTCGCAAAGGACTTGCCTGGGCGCGTTCAAAAAATCCTCAAGAGATGCTTCATCTTCACCCATTAGATCTCCGGAGCGCATTGTCCATAGTCAGCAGTACTCAGGAGGCTGATTCTAGGTTGGTTTGCTTTTAGTTATAAATGGAGCCAGTAACTGGAACCTTTATGCCCTCATCTGCCAAAGTGGGGATAGCAGTGCCTCTCTGCAGAGTTGTTGTAAAGATGTAAGAGAAAGACCACTTATGAAAGTGCCTGACTCAGGGCCTAGCACCTGGTGAACATTCAGATGCAGGGTGTTGGTTGACTTTCTTCTTTCTCTCTCTTCCTCCTTGCATTCACCTCTCCATCCTTCTTCTCCTCCTTTTTCTGTCCTGTGATTCTCCTGAGGTCCACTCACTTGGTTTGATCACACAGGTGGAGATCTGTGAGAACAGCTGCGTTTCTAGCTGCTCCATACCTGCACCCCTTCTGAGTTCTAACATGTTCTTGCATTTGAGAGCCCATTAACTTTTGAGACAGAGCTTCCTCCGTGTTAACATCCACAGTGGCGCTGTTGCAGGTGATGATTCCGTGAGCTGGGGGAGCACACATTTGTGTTTTGTTTGCTCACTGGCTCTCCCAGCTTTACATTTAATTCAACACAGCATTGTAAAAAGGAGATTTTGTAACACCATTCTAGATTTTCAGTTTTTTAGGGAAATTCACCCAGTGGGCTCATATTCTCATGTGGTGAGCAGTTGGTGTAGCTGATGGTGGCTCCCTCCTTTCAACAGGACACATGCTCTCCAGTGTCCTTTAGTCCTCAACAACCCCTGTGGCTTTCCCACGTGGAGGTCAGCTGTCACTGCCTTGATCGCTTTTGCTGGCTGTCTGTAATCATTTATGTTATCCGCCTGGCCCCTGTAAGCATCAGCATGTATGACCCCTGGCCACCACTGCAGTTAGATACAAAGATTTCATTGAGGAAACTATATTGGCATCATAATTTATTTCCCCATGACACTTCCACTTCTGAGTATGCACAGTACATGCCTTACGTAAAGGACATGCATGCCTACCAAGTGAGTCCTCATAGAAATCCATTCAGATAGCTGCCTTGGGTTATAGCCAGAGTTACTGATCTCTGAATCTTCCAGCTCATGGGTAGGAGATTGTGTAATGAATCATGTTAATATCTTCTCCAGGTTGCTTACAGAAATCTCGTCTTCGTGGGATGGGTGCCAGAAGTATTTTTATCGCTGTCTTGCGCGGCACACCAGGCTTAGTGCAGCCCTAGCGACTCCTGCCAAGGTAGAATAATGGGACATCAGAATTGCAGGGGCCCAGGGCATGCTTCTTCTGCTCATCCCGGGGCTGCATTCTCAGGCCTCGTTATCAAGTGGTAACAGCCCATTAATGGAAATTGACTAACATTTTTACAGTACATCCTTAAAATATACAGTATGATTTTGTGCTAAATCAGAGACTAGCTTATAATAAATTATGTAACACACACTTTCCAGCAGGACCAAATGTATAAGAAAAATTATGGAAGAAAAACTTCATATTGAGAATGCCATCTTCAAATCTTTTTTCCCCTTGCAAATTGAGAAAAGACCACTGATACCTATTTCTCAATGGAATGTCAGTTATTTGTGGAGGCAAAATGTGAGAACTGCTTAAAAGGATGTGTATCACCCCAGAAGGCAGCACACCAAAGCCTCCATGAGCTGGGGACCCTGCCCGGGGAGTACTCAGCGGCACAGCTTTCTAGTGGAGCCTCTGGGGGTTGTTGGCCAGCAGACCGCCAGCATGCCTCTCCTTCTCCCTCTGCCAGGAGCTGGGTGTGGGCAGCATTGAGCGGTGTAGGGGCTTCTCGGCACACCTGATGAAGATACTTGTCCGACAGCGGCGCGCCCTGACCACACTGACTGAGCAGTGGATCATCCTCAGGTAGCAGCTGACCAGCTAGGTGTGGGGCACGAATTAGGAAGAGTTGGGTAAGTTAGCTCAGAGCCGTGTCCATCGTGAGAGGAGTGGGACCTGCTCTCGGTTGTGAAATGAAGTTGAGGCCCAGAGACAGGTGGAATTTCTTTGGGCTCTATCCCCTGCTTTTGGTGACGTTCCTCTAGTCTCCCCCTCCCGGTGTCTGACTGCACCTCCTGGGAGAATGGGACTGGGGATTCAGGGCTGAGTCAGACCACAATTGTCCTGTGGGTCTGGAATGAGGACATTCATTGCTGGGCTGTGTTCATGGTGTCTGGGTATCCCGGTCTTCGGGCACAGAGTAGATTTGAGTCTGCTTCTGTTAGGCTTTTGGGATCCTGAAGTGGTGAGCTGCTGAGCTATATGTGGATGTTCCTCAAAGAAAACAGATGGTTAAAAGATGAGGACAGTTGGGAAGGCTGTCATCTGTTGAGTGGATTCTTGGCTGAGAGATAGTATTTCCAGATCATTCCCTCTGGCTTCAGGTAATTTTTCTTCCATTCATTAGGGCTTCTGTAGCAAAGTATAGTACTTGGTAATGCTGTTGGAAGTCGCCGCAGTGGTGTGATCTGTGTTGGATGAGAGGGGGCTCTTAGGGTCAGGTGACATAGGCAGGGAGATTTGGTACTTCTGAAAGACTGGAGGGTGTGTGGAAGCACTTTGGGGAGGCCTTCCAAGAGACTTCTCACCTACCTGAGGGGAGAGACTTTCTTCTTTATGGTATGAAAGTGTCCATACTTGTTCAGAAACACAGGCATAGTTACTGTTAAAAGTCACATGATAACATGGTCTAAGGTACCATTGTGTCTCCCCCGGGTTTCTCTGCACAGGAACCTCCTCAGCTGTGTGCAAGAGATTCACGGCCGGCTGACAGGGCCCTTGGCCTACCCCGTGGCCTTCCCTCCTCAGGACGGTGTGCAGCAGTGGACAGAGCGGCTGCAGCACTTGGCCATGCAGGGCCAGGTCCTGCTCGAGCAGCTCTCTTGGCTCCTCCAGTGCTGCCCCAGCACAGGGCCAGCTCTAGGCCATGGTGATGTCCCAGTGCCGGGCCAGCCTCCTGCCCCCCACCTGGAAGGACCAGAACTCACCAAGGGACAGCTTTCCAGGGTGGTGCCTGACCTCATTCCCTCTGACCTGAGCTACCCATCTCCAGTGCCTGGAGCTCAGCTGCCCTCTGGTTGCCGCATGCGGAAAGAGGACCAGCTTTGGCAACAGTCAACTGTGAGATTATCAGAGGTACTGAAGACCATTAAAACAGTGAAAGCTGATGTCGACAAAATTAGACAGCAGTCTTGTGAGACTCTCTTTCATTCTTGGTGAGTGTGTCTGTGTTTTTTCTCTGTTTGCTTGAGTGTTTGTTTGTGTTTAGTAATGGAATGAATTATGAAAAGAGTTGTGCTGAAGTCCTCTGCTATCCAGTGGACCTGCATAGCACTTTGTGGCACATGTCTAGCTGTAAACCATCAGATAGTCAGTTTTGCCCTGCACATATTTAAGTGCAGGGTGCGTGTGTGTATGTATGTGGCTGTGTGTTTCAACACTGTGGCATTTCTGTTGCAGGAAAGATTTTGAAGTTTGCTCTTCTGCGCTGAGTTGCCTATCCCAGGTGACAGTTCATTTGCAAGACCTAGAGTCCCTGTTCATTCTTCCAGGGATGGAGGTTGAGCAAAGAGACCCACAAATGGCATTAGTTGAAAGCCTAGAATATGTAAGAGGAGAAATCAATAAAGCCGTGGATGACTTTACGACCTGGAAGACACATCTGCTTACTTCAAGTAGCCACGGAGGTAAAGAGCATTGTTCTGTTAGGGAGTAAACGCCTAGTGTGGAAATGGTATCTGGAGATTGGAGATTTCAGTCTGGAAATCCTGAAGACAAATTATGTTTTACATGTGCCTGTCCTGGGTTCTGAGGCAAGGAGGTGTGGTTGAATTCTCAGCTCTCAACTTCTGGTGCCTCGTTGGTTTGAATGCCTTGCCTCTGGGCTGTCCTCAGTTGTGTATGTGTAGGAAGGCAGCACAGCCCACACGCCTGGGACCATTTTGGGCTGAACACTTGGGGCTGATACTTGGACTAAATTGATATTTATTTGCACCATCTTAACTGTCGTTTTCTTTCCTTTTATATTTTTTTTGAGTTGGAATCTCACTGTCACCCAGACTGGAGTGCAGTAGCACGCTCATGGCCACTGCAGTCTCAGCCTGCTGGGCTCAGGTGTCTTTCCTCCTCAGCCTTCCAAGTCGCTGGAACTACAGGTGTGCACCACTATGCCCGGCTAATTTTTTTCATTTATTGTAGAGACAAGGTCTTGCCAAGTTGTTCAGGCTGGTCTCGAACCCCTGGGCTCAGGCAGTTCTCTCGCCTTGGCCTCCCAAAATGCTGGGATTAGAGGCATGAGCCACTGTGCCCAGCTGCTATCATTTTCATATTTCTGGCATTCTTTTAGTCAAATTGTTTTTATACAGGTAATAAACCTATAGGGTTCTCTAGGCAAGGAGTTTGTCTTCTTTGTGTCCAGCCAGCAAAGCTTGATGCAGTGGCTCAGCCATAGCAGGTACTTAACAAGTGGCCATTATTTAGATAGGAGAATTGTTCATGATTTCCAGCAGCACTAGAAATGACTGGTATCTTTTGTTTGTATGTTTGTTTTGCATCTTGTTACTTACTAGGAAGCCACATGTTGGATGAAGGGTTTGTGGAAGATTTTTCAGAGCAAATAGAAAACGCCATCCGAGCCATCCTCTGTGCCGTCCAGAACTTAGCAGAAAGAAAGGATAAAAAAGCAGAGGAGAACACTGACCAAACGAGACCACAGGAAGAGGATGGTATGTCTGAAATCAGGAAAAAATTAGTATCATGCCTGATTGAATTTTTGTATTGACATCTGTGGCTAAATAGTTAAGGACAGGTGTTAGAAATGGATGACTGCATGAATAGAGATGAAAGAGTTTGTTTCTGTTACTCATCATGGCATTTTTTTCTGTGAATGAAAGCAGAAGACTTTGAGAGACTGCGGTCAGGACATGTAACAAAACTCTTAGAAGATGACTTCTGGGCTGACGTGAGTGCTTTGCACGTGCAGAAGATAATCTCTGCCATCTCCGAGCTGTTGGAGAGGCTGAAATCGTACGGCGAGGACGGCACTGCGGCGAAGCACACGGTAACTGCCGGTTCCTCACAAGCTTCTTGCTCTTCAGTGGGCGCTGAACCTCGCTCTGTGTGGGTGGGCCCCAAAGCAGACCTCAGCGCCAGTGTCACTAAGAATTGGGTCTGTTCATACATGTCAGTGTTGCTGACAAGCTTTGATAAGTTAGGGTTTGCTGGCTAAGGGCAGAGATTGTAAGGTGTGTAGGTGCAAAAGTGCTGACGATCCAAAACCACCACTGCTTTAGGGCTCTTTTGATGCCCACTCATGTGCTCCCATGTGCTTGCTGTTCCTGATGGATGTTGCTGCTGTCAGGTAAGGCTAGCGGCTCACCTCTGGGAATGCCGTTGCCTCCACAGTCCGCCCGCAAAGTAAGAAGTCGTGGTTGCTGTCCTGAGTCCAGGGGAGCAACTTACATCGTAGGACATTGGATGCTCTTCTGTGCCAGTGCCTCCAGTGCCAGCTTTGAATTGAGTGTACCGTTTACTTATAGACATTTTGTTCTAAAAAACCAATATTATTAGCTAAATGAGACGTCAGTAACTGAGAATTTAAAGTGCACTTCTGTGAGGGTTTGTGTGAATGAAGGCGTCTCAGTGAGTGGTGTGTATTAAGGGAGGCGGAGGCGTTAATTCACGTGCAGCTTGTCATTAGTGACATTCAGGCCATTCGCAGTGTTGTGCAGTGACTGCCGCTGTCTAGTCCCAGGACGTTCTTATCGCTCAAAGGAAACGTGGTGCCGCTGAGCAGGTGAGCAGGCCTTTGGTTTTGTTTTGTGCCCAGTTCTTCCGCCAGTCCTGCTGCCTGCTGGCGCGCCTGGTGCCCATGCTCTCCAGCTACTCAGACCTCGTCCTCTTCTTCCTGACCGTGTCTTTGGCGACTCACCGCAGCACTGCGAAGCTGCTCTCTGTGCTTGCCCAGGTCTTCACGGAGCTGGCGCAGAAGGTAAGGACTGCTCGTGTGGAGTGCTGTGGTGCTGTGGAGGCCCACGTAGTCCACATCCCTTCATTCTTGGTTCAGCGGCTTTTATTTGGGCCGTCAAAAACTTTAGGCAGCCGGATATGTTGGCTCACTCTTGTAATCTCAGTACTTTGAGAGGCTGAGGCAGGAGGGTCACTTGGACCCAGGAGTTCAAGGCCAGCCTGGATGGCATAGTAAAGACTTTATCTACAAAAAAATTTTGAAAATAGTAGTGGTAGCACTAGCTTGTAGTCCCCACAGCGCAGGCGGACCTTGACCTGAACCCAGGCGGCCGAGGCTGTGGTAGCCATGATCGTGCCATTGTACTCCAGCCTGGGTGACAGAGTGAGACTCCAACTCAAAAAATAAATAAATAAAAGCAGGCAGTGGGCTGGGTGCGGTGGCTCAGCCTATAATCCCAGCACTTTGGGAGGCGAGGCGAGAGGATTGCCTGAGCCCAGGGGTATGAGACCAGCCTGGGCAACTTGGTGAGACCTTCTCTCTATAATAAATCACAAAAAAACCAATGAAAAACTAACTGGGCGTGGTGGCATGCATCTGTAGTTCCAGTTAGTTGGAAGGCTGAGGTGGAAGGATCGCCTGAGCCCAGTTGGTCAAGGCTGCGGTGACTCTGACCATGCCACTGCACTCCAGCCTGGGCAATAAGAGTGAGATTTCAACTCAAAAAAAAAAAAGCAGGCAGTGATTTGCTCTGCTTGTGGACTCTTAAGGCTTGCTAACCTCATTTCCACTAGTGTCTCAGAACCTGCAGACTCCCCACTGATGAGTTCCTGGAACGCATGCAAACCTGGCTATTACACAGATAGAGATGTCCTGTTTTGGAGGTTTGGCAAGAGACCGTTTATATCTAGTGTTACCAAGCTCTAGAGGCTATTGAAAGGCTGTTGCTTTCTATTAGTATACCCTTTTTTCCCCGTCCCTGATGTGAAGTCTTCTTTGGATAATTCCTGAGCTAGACATGTAGGAGACACCCTTAAGGCAATTACACGCTCTTTAACCATTTGTATGTACTTGTGATTAAACGATAACAGGGTTTTTAATATTAGAAGAAGGGTTTGTTTTTTTAGCAGAATTATTCGTCCATTCAGCTGTGTACCTAGTACTGTGAAAAGCACGGAGGGCTGTAGAGACTGTAGACCCTGCCCGTGAAATCCAGGGACAGTGAGACAGTGAAATCTCACAGACTCAACACGGTATGGCAGGTCTAGTCACGGAGGTATCCAGTTCTCGGACTCAGCGCGAGTCATATAACCTCTCTGAGCCTCAGCTTCCTTATTTACAAAAGAAGATCTGCCTTTGCTCATTAGCATTTTTGTGAGAACCGCCTTCATTTGTATATGATTTTTTTTCTTCCTTAGTATTCTAAGATTTTCTCCAAATCTAAGTATAATACACATGAGATTCACTTGAGGAAGATACAAATTTATCTACTGAATATGGGGTCTGAGTTTCTTGTAAATACTTAAGACTTCTTAGTTCTGAGTCTCTGAAATATTGAAAAGGGTTTAAAAGTGGTAGGCAAGCCTCGTGCCTCATATCGAGAGGATACGTTTTTGTGTAGCTGTTGAGTAATAAGTCAATAAGTCTTGGGTTTGATGGGCACTCAGCCAGCCTTGCCTCCCGTCACTTTTAGGAGAAAACACTGCCCAAGACAGTGGCAGGAAAGTGTGTGATAAGGGTGCTTTGAGATTTGTGTCAGCTGGATCTGTCCATTTGTGCTGCTCTCTTGTCTGAAGGGCTCTTGAATGACTTTGGCCTGCACGTCTGTCTGCGTTTCGGGGTGGGGATGGTCCTGAGAGTGCAGCTGGGGGGAGCCAGTGACTGTGCCAGCTGTGGCTGTCGGGAGATGCCCCGAGAAGGGCGTCTGCTCTCCCTGGCGGGGTGGGCTCTTCCTGCCTATCCGCACAGCTTTCTTTTAAAGTAACGTGGCTCAGTGGGAACATTAAGTCAGTCACCAAAACGTGTTACCCAGTCAGCTTTCCCAGAATATGTGCCCTGAACGTTTGCTTTTCCTTTCATTTTTGTAAGTTTCCAAATTATATTTACCTTTTCTGAGTGGTGCTGAGAGAACCTGAAAGTAGGTTAGACAGTGCTGAAGCAGTAGATTTAGGTTGTAATGCAAGCATTTAATCCACAGCAATCTGTTTCTAGCAACAAGTCACAGTCAGTGGTTACTTGTATTGTGGACCTTAATTCCTAGTTAATTTTGACAGCCTATCAAAAACAAAAAGTTGGAAAAAAGATGCAAACCTACTGGATAAGTACATTCTCATCCCCAGATGGACAAATATCTCAAGAGTGTGCATTTTTTCTTGTCAAATTAAACTCTCTGATTGAGAGCCACTGTTTTCTTCTACTGTTTCAGGGTGGGATTGGCTAGTTATTTTTTCTTTTCAGGCTCTTTTCCGACGCTAGACACGGTTAACGCTTTCTGATTGTTCCCGTGTCTGACTGTGTTCTCTTGAGGGCCTGTTCGGCCCTTGCTCAGTGACTTGTTCCGAAATTTGTCCTTCTCGTATACGTCACTCCCGTTTTTTCTTGGCAAAGTGAAAAATTACTGCATGCTAGAGGCCTCTACGAAGTCAAAACCTTGTGTGCTTCAATGTGATGTCAAGCTGTGAAATTGCATAATCATTGTTATCACCAAGGGGAAAAAGAATGTCAGAGGTCTCCTGTACTTCTAGCCAAATTACGATAACTGAACTAGAAAAAGACTTAAGTATTTGTTTAGATGTGTGTTTTTCCTTGTGACAGAACTGGATATCCTCTTTTTATCAATCAATCAATTAATTAAGAAAGCAGAATTTGTGGAGAAGACAGCAAAGCTCCCGCAGCAGGAAGGGGCCCGAGGGGCTGGCCGTAGCCCCTTTCTAAATGGCCTTTGTGCCCTTTTCCCCCTTAGGGATTCTGCTTGCCCAGAGAATTTGTGGAAGATTCGGCAGGAGAGGGAGCAACCGAGTTCCATGACTACGAGGGAGGTGGCATTGGAGACGGTGAGGGCGTGAAGGATGTGAGTGACCAGATCGAAAATGAAGAGCAGGTATGTTTTCTCGCCTGTGGAACAGGCATACTGTAGCTAGAGACGCGGGCTCCCTTCCTCTGAAGTCTTTACATTACACACAGAAATCGTTTTTATCAGGTGAATAATTTTCAAGCTGTGAACTCTGAAGCCCTAGATATATTGGAGCTTGGGTAGTGGTTGTAAATAAAAAGCCTAAAAACCACATGAAGGAACTTTGTAGCTCAGTCTTTTGTGGTGGCTATGATTTTGGAGGGAATGACTTTTACTTTTTTTTAATGGAAATATTTGCTGATGATTTTCTGGACAATATTTTTTGGTATTAGTACTTTTAAGCAAAAAAGCCTTGACTGTTTTTCTTGGGCATGGTGGCACATACCTGTAATCCCAGCTGTTTAGGAGACCCAGGTAGGAGAATTGCTTGAGCCTGGGCAACACAGCAAGACCCCATCTCTACAAAATAAATAAAAATAAAAAATCAGCTACTCTGGGGGCTGAGGTGGCAGGATCACTTTAGCCCAGGAGTTTGAGGCTTTAGTGAACTATGATTGCTCTACTACACTCCAGCCTGGGTGAAAGAATGAGACCTTGCTTTAAAAAAAAGCTTGGCTATTTTAAGTGATAGCTGCTTTTTTTTTTTTTTTTTTTTTGTGAGTTGGAGTCTCACTCTGTTGCCC